TAATTCAGATATAAAATAAGGAGAGAATAAAAATACACTTCTGGTGCTTTGCATTGTCAACACATATACTAAGAATGTGTATTTTTTATCCACTAGATTACCTATACCTATTCTTCAAGTCTATTCAATCACCTAAGTCCTTAGCTACTGTTTATCTACGATTGCTCCCTTACTCTCAACACCTTCATTTGCCATTATTTCTTGTGGGAAAACTGCCTTTGAGATATGATAAAACAGGTTGTGTAGGCTTTTTCTCAAGAACATTTCTCTGTCAGGTGATACCTGTATTATATAACTGATTGTGATTGACCATAAAAATATATGTTGCTACCTTTTAGTCATTAATGGCTGTAGTATATATGCTTCTTTACAAGACTGTCTCCCCCAAACAAAATCTTATTTGTTTAAATAATCTTTTTAATGGTTCTTTTTGCCTACCATTGTGGCCTAATTTAGCTAACCATTGTAGCTTATTAAATATCCTCAGAACAGTAATTTTCCTTTTCAAGAGATGCTACAAAGTTGAGTAACAGTGAACATTGCTGAAATATCTGAACTCTATTCATCAAAACTTCATTGCTCCCTGTAAGCTGCTGGCAATTTCTTTCCTACTCAGGCTCTAAAGAGTTCTTTAGCTTGGGCTCTCTCTCTCCACTGCCCAGATTAATTAGCTAGTAAATTAGCCATTTTTTTTCCTCTGAGAATTTGCTAATTCAAGGACCACATACTGCTACTGCTGAACCTTAAAAAAAAAAAAAAAAAAAATATATATATATATATATATTTTACCATAAGAGGAATAGGTGTATAGATTTAACTCTTATTCTACACGAAACTGCACTAATAGATATGTTTTTAAATTTTAAGAGAATGTCCCAATCAATCAAAATACTTAATCATTCAGTCAGTTTATAGTTAAAGAGCATAAGGTCGAGAGCGAGAATATGTGGTTTCAAATTCTGCCTGTTACTATTTGTGTGACCTTGGGTAAATTACTTAATCTCCCTGTGCTTTAATTTCCTTACATATAATATGGAGACAATAACAGAACTGTCCCTCATGGGGCAGTTCTAAGGAATGACTAAAAGAGTTAATATAGATAAAGCATTTAAAACAATGCCTGGCCTAAAGGAATGCTCAACAAATGTTAGATTTTTATAATTATCATCATCTCTAAAATTTAGCTCTGAGATGAGAGTTACATTACAAAAAATGTCTTAAGATTTTACATAAACTGGAATAAATATCAGAAATAGAAGTTTAACTTGGTGTCATGACAGAGGCTTTTTAGCAGGTAACAAATATTTTATCTCTAAATATTTTTAAAACAATTGTCTTAAAAGAAAGTTATATTTTTGTTTGGTGAGACAACAGTTTATTTTCTTACTTTTGTGGTCGAGCTTTTTTTTTTAAACCAACTTTATTGAGACATAGTTTGCTTAGAATAAAAAGCGCCTATTTAAAGCATACAGTTTGATGAGATTTGACAATGTATATACTTTTTTAAACTCTATCAATTAAGATATGAACATTTCCATTATCCCCAAAGTCCCCTTACACTCTTAACAGTCAATCTTTCCCTCACCCAGAGCCTAGACAACTGCTAGTCTACTCTAGGATAGTTGTTCTTAAAACGTTATCTAGGTACCACTGAGGAATCAAAACTATTTTCATAATAAAACTAACATGTTATTTGCTCTTTTCATTCTCATTCTCTCATGAGTGTACACTGGCAGCTTCCAGAGGCTGGCAACATGACGTATGATATTGTAACAGATTGAATGCAGAAGCAGATATAAAAATCTGGCTGTCTTCTATCAAGCCAGACATTAAAGAAATTTGCAAAAATGTAAAACCATGTCACTCTTCTCATTGAAATTGTTTTGTTTTTGAAAATTTTTTTTTTAAATCAACATGTTATTTATTAACATGTAATGGATGTATTGTTATTTTACATTGAATTAATACATACTTTACGATTTTCTCAGTTTTAATTTCTAATATGGTTAATATCGACAGATATAGCCCACAAAACAAAAGCTCTTTTGAATCCTCACTAATCATTAAGAGCACAAAAAAGTCAAGACTAAATTGATGGTCCCTCCTTTTTTAAAAATGCTATAACTTCCATAGTGTCTGAAAGATAGGAATAGATTTTACAATCGACTATTCACTTGTAACAATGAAATACTGGTCTGAATGTGTTAATCTCTCTCTTAGTGCAATCTAAGGCAGACATAACCGCAAATTTTAATCATTCATAACAGGAAAACTGGATAACTTTTCTCTCTAAAGGGACCACGTTATCTAATTTTTTGGTTCTCTGAGGGCATCAATGCATGGCTATAAGAATCCCTTCATTAGAACTAATATAAAATATTACCTTTTACCAAACACAGAGACTTTTCTTTCAGATGTGGGTTTGTTTATACTCAACTTTCCAAAGGCTGGTTTCTCTTTGCTTTAAAAACAAAAACAAAAACAGAAAAACAACTCTTTAAAATAAATATAAAAAAATATTAGTTCAAAAAACTTTTGGAAATAGGTTGGAACCAATACCTTTCCTCCATTACCTATACAAATAATTCAAAATCACGAAAATTTTTAGCAGCAACCATAGCTGTTATAAATGGGATGGGCTTAAACACAGTATAAGTTATGACACCTATAGTGTTAGGGGACAAGTGGGGGTCCTTCTGGTCCATCCAATCTTTAGTAGATTTATCCTTTGTTTTAACCCCATCACTGTCTACTTTACTACTCTTGTTTTTAATAACCACCTAATGATTTTCTACCCTTAGATAAAGCATGCAGGTGAGAACCATAGGTGGAGGTACTTACGTTTGAGGGGTATAAAGGCCTTGTTTATTTAGGTCCTGGGATCTTAACTCCTGCATGGAGAGGCGGCCAGCACCACCAGTGGAAACTGAACTGTGCTTCATGCTTATGACCTATATTCATGAATTCAGTATTAAAAAAACTTTCCAGACATAGATGATACATTAAGCAACAACTATTATCTTTATCCTCAAATAGAAAGGCAGCCAAGTTTCACTGCTTCTTTGAGATAACCTTTCCCCTATGCTCTTTATTTGTTCAAATACACTGAAGTCCTCATTTGCAGGGAACGTCTACTTAACTTCATTTTTAAATATTCAACATAACATACATATTTACTAAATGCCAACCATGTACAAAGGAGTGTGCTAGGCAATGCAGGAGATATAAAGATGAATAAGGCATGATTCCTGCCTTCACAAAGGCATTTGTGGTAACAAAAGCCCTGAATACTAACCCAGACCACATCACTGCTGTTGGCTATGCCTATTTCCACAGGAAGTGAAAGAACCACCTTAAATTCTTTTATTCACTTCAAAATGTGTCCTTTTCTTTGGTCTCAGAGAATGGAGCTATTCTCTTTTCTTTTCCTAATACCTCTCTCACCTGCTCTATCCTTAATCCATTGTTTCCCAGTTTATATTCAATTACTGCCCTCCTGGCTTCAATCTCCCCTTCAACAAGGACAAATCATCTGGTCCACAAAATAGTCTATAGGTTGCCTCCCTTTTCAAACCACATTAACATCTCATTGCCTTCACATCTACTAAAAGTTGTCTCCTAGGATACTCATGATTAACAAATCTTTTGATGCTGTCTCATCTTTGCAGCATTAGATACTATCCACCCAGCTCTCTAAGGAAGTGCCCTGGCTTCCAGGAAAGTGGTTATCTTTTCTATGGTTATCCTTTTTTTTAAAAAAGGAATTTATTTATTTTTTAATTGATATGTATTGATTGTACATATTTATGGGGTACAGTTATATTCCAATACACGTATAGAATGTGTGATGATCAAATCAGGGTATTTAGCATATCCATCATCGCAAAACTATCATTTCTTTGTGGTGAAAAAATTTGATCTCTCTTCTAGCCATTGGAGAACATACAATAAAATACTGTTATTTATAGATGCCTAACGCTACTGTACACCACGTGTGATGATCAAATCAGGGTATTTAGCATATCCATCATCGCAAAACTATCATTTCTTTGTGATGAAAAAATTTGATCTCTCTTCTAGCCATTGGAGAACATACAATAAAATACTGTTATTTATAGATGCCTAACGCTACTGTACACCACTAGAAATTATTTTTCCCATTTGGCTGTAATTTTGTGTTATGGTTATCCTAAACGAATAACCTTTCTGAGCACTCCTTAGTGTTTTACACTGATTGCATTCTTTCCTTTTTGGTTTTGGCCCCCATCTTTTCTCCTTCCATGTACCCTTGTTCTATTCAACTTTTCCACCCCCACCTCTATGTCCACTCCCAATCTCCATTTATGATGTACTCTCACGATTGAGGATTAAGACTTCCACTGTACTTTTTACAAAGCCACTAAGATGCTACCCTAGTACCCAAATTCAACACAAACAGTTCCTCTTTCGTCCTTCCCCTTCCCGCCTTCTTTCCCCTTTCTTCTCTTCAGTCGCTTCTCTCCACCAGCGACCCCTAGGCCCTCCCCTTCTCCCTTGGGGGAAATCGTTGCCACTAGAAATTTGCTGGACTCCGTGAAACTGGCGCCTCGCATAGATTTGGCCCCAAGGCCTCCCACAACAGCCATCACTCAAACGTAGTCCCTCAGGGCCTCCACAGTTAAGTTGTGGGCGCCAACACTTTCTCCCTCCAGAACAGTTCTGCAGTGACATAGTCAACCCAAATTACTTACCTTTCTTCCAGCTTACTGAAAGGCCCAGGGTCCGAATTTCTGTAAACCTTGCACTTGTCCGCTAGACAGGACAGCAGCTGCCAAAACACCAACTCTTTTCTTTCGCTCTCTAGAGCGTTTGAATTTGAAAAATCTCCGCCGGCTCTGACGTCACCACGCACGACGTGCGCACGCGTGCGCAGTCCTCATACGCCGCTCGTCGCCGGAACTATGCGTGCTGGTCTCGCCCCGCCTCCTTGCGGGCTCAGGGGTGTCTGTGGTCCAGTGCGAGCGTCCACTACGAAGTCCGGCCTGACCCTTAAAATAAGCTCTGAAAGACCCGAGGGCTCTTCGTCACCGAGCCACAGCCTAAGAGCTCCAAGTCGCTTTGGAAACGCTTTTCCGTACAGCAACATGGCGGCGCCCGTTGGCTCTTAGAAAAGGAGAACTTTTTTCCTTTGCCCCGAAAGGGGTGTCTTTTATGACCACCACTTAGATGGGTGCTGTTTTCCTGATAAGCGTCTGGGAAGGCGGCGTGCAGGGTACTGACCAGGGAAGCGGTGAGGTAGGAGGTCGCGGCTGCTGAGTGTGGGTGTAGTGGTCTCCAAGGATCACGCGGGTGTGGCCGCCGTCGTGATACGGTTCCGGATTTTAGTGCTCGCCGGGGTCTCACGCTGTTCTAGTGTGGGTGGCCTGCGAGGAGCAAGGTTGGGGGTGGCGAGGCGGTGAATGTGAATCGAAGAAGCAGGTGCACTAAGCACACTAGACTTTGCTAAAATTTTTAAAATTACATAATATTATATAATTATTTTCCTAAAATATTTTGGAATTCGAATTCGAATTCGAACTCAGAGACAGGCACTGCCGAATACCGGGAGAAAGGTGGTGGTGGGACGGGAGCTCAGATCGAAAGTCCCTGGATCTTGTAGCAATTGTGCCACCAACTAAAGTTGTAATTTTTGGGCAAGTCGTCTTTCTCGTATGAGTTTGTTTTCCCATCTAAATTTCTACCTCTGACTAGCCATTACAGTGACCATGAAGCGGGGAGGGGGGCAAGGATCACCACTAACAACAGCAGTTAGCATTTGCTTGAGTAACTGCTATGTGTCAGACACTGTGCACAGCATTTCATGTAGCTTAATTTTCTAAACTGCCTTCCGAGGTGTCATAAAAAATGATGACTTTAAGGCTCGTTGAGATCTGTTTGCCTCTGGTCACACTGCTAATACATGGTCTATAGAAGAAACAAACCACTTTTCCTCTGCTCTCATACTTATAATCATCACAGAAGACTTCTGTGACTTGTGGTCACCAAGAACTGTGGGATTTCTCTCCACCAGCAACCAGTTGATCAGTTTTCCAGATTCTGCAGCTGCAAACACCAGCTGAGTGATCTCTAATTGAATTTAATTCTGACGCTATCTACCTGGACATCTCACAGCTTTATTAAGTAGGCATGATTGATTAAATCATTGGCCATTGGTAATCAACTCAACTTTCAGCCCCTCTCTCCTCTCCTTAGGTGGGGGGTGGGGGTGGGGCGGAATTCCAACTCTCTGAGCACATGGTTGGTTCCTCTGGCATTCCAGCCTCCCATCCCGTGGTTACCTAGGAACTTTCCAAAAATCACCTCATAAATACAAGCTCAGACATGGTTGAAAGGGTCTTGTTATAAATAACAAAAGACCTTTATTACTTAACCTTTATTGCTCTGGAGCTGTTGCCAACTCAGCTTAGTTTTATGTAACCAAGGACTAAAGGCCAAATGTTTCAACAAAAGTTACTCTTACTGCTCTTTTTTTTTCTGGAGGCTGGCCCTTTTGGGGATCTGAACCCGTGACCTTGGGGTTATGAGGCTGCACTCTAACCAACTGAGCTAACTGGTCATCCCCATTGGGAAATTACAAGGGTTATAGTGAGGCAGGAATAGTGGACAAAAAGAAAAAAAAAATCATACATGGAGTTAGAAGTTTGAATCTAAATGCTATTATTATTAACTATTCTATTAAGCATTTATTTATGTCTTATTGTGTCCCCTAAGTTCTCCACTCGATTTAGAAAGCAATATCCAGAACTGTAAACCATCTTCTGAAAAAAGATAAAAGAAGTTCTGAAAAACCTATTTATCTTATGAGTGCTGCTCAGAACCAGTTAGAGATCTGGATTCTTATGCTTGTAGTTTTGCTAGGGTGCTTCTGATGTGCTGTTAAAATTGCATTTGCTCTGGCTAGACCAATCTTTTCTTTTCACCTTATTCGGCCATTGGTAGCAGTAGTTAAGTAAGGCAATGATAGTGGAGAATGGGCTGACTTACTATGGCAAATGTTAGAAAAATCAAGGTCTGGCTTGCTAATAGCTCATCCTCAAATTCTATGACCTTCTCTCTAGATAAGTTTATCTCATTAAAAAGGTTGAATTCACATAGTGTGTATTCTTTGCTTCGACAGGACACTTTAAACTTTAAAGGAGTCAATGACTTTCTTACTCAGAGTATGTGAACCTAGTGGCTAGATCCAAGGACCAAAGCAAGAAGCTGTGGTGGGCCTGGAAAGAGAGGAGGAGGAGGAGGAGGAGGAGGAGGAGGAGGATCAAATTGGGATTCCAAAAATAAGAGCTTTAACCCTTTTTGGTCAACTTGGCTAAAAATTTTGAATTATCAACTCTGAAATTAAAAGTTTATATGAAAATGTTGTTATTTTCCTTAGAACTTCTCTATATATTATCATGTCATGAATGTTAAATTTTCTTGTGTGTTCATGTCAAGTTTATATACTTGAATATCAAATCTACCTGTGTGTGTGAAGTATATGTTTATCGAAATACAAGACATTTAAAAACCTGATTTGGAAAGTTGGGTTTTACCTCTAGTTGCTAATTCCTACAGGATTTTTTTTTTTTTTTTTTTAAGGAAGAGAATGTCTGTGGTACATCATATGTCACCCGGGTGGTTACTGGATCATCTTTCTTTCATTAACAAGATAAACTATCAACTTCACCAGCATCGTGAGCCTAGCTGCAATAAAAATGAGCCCACTTCTTCTGTCCCCTTTGATTCTCTTCAAATGGATTCTGTGTCTTCTTTTGGAGCCTCTGGTACAATTATTGCTTCTGACTCTACCACTAAGTCAGAGAATGATGATGGAGGAAATCATGAAGTGTTCACACAAAAATACGTTTTTCGATCTGAACTATTTGATGTCACCAAGCCTTATATAACTCCAGCGGTTCACAAAGAATGCCGACAAAGTAATGAAAAGGAAGATCTAATGAATGGTGTTAAAAAAGAAATCTCCATTTCTATTTTTGGGAAGGTAGAAAGTTTTAAGAAATATTAATTTTTCTGCAGAAAACATAAAAAATCATTTTAATATCTTAAAAATCTTGTGATTTAGTAAGTATAAAGAAGAATCAATAATGCATAAGAAGGCTTTCGCATACTCAGAGTAATTTTTAACTCTTTCCTAATATTGTACCATTCTTAGAAGAGCAAATTGAGTATATCAAAAATAAGCAAAGTTGGCTCAGGAGTGAATGCTCTGTAAATTAAGCAAACAAAATAAACCCAAAGAACAAAAAAGTCCTTTCTGCTTAGATATTTGTAGTAATCAAATGTTTTTGCACCTATTTTGCTAAAAGACATGCTTGTCTCTCTGCACAATTTCTAACTAGTAAATAGATTTTGGGAGATTTTTAGACACATATCCTTGGAGATAAGCTTATGTAATAAAAGTTTGGAGGAAGGGTGATATTTTTGAAAAGTTTTAGTGATAAAAGTAGAAAGTTACTGTGGAAAATTACATGTTTGTAAAGTATATACATGAGGGTACTTCAAAAAGTTTGTGGAAAAATAGAATTAAAGGACAATATGAATCCATGAACTTTTTGCAGTACCCTTGTATTTGTATATACACATTAGTGCAATCTTTTAGTAAAGTTTCAAGAATACCATACAAGATCAAATTAATTACGTTTTAATACATTTTGTATCTTTGAAGAGTTCAGAGGTGATTTTACAAAGTTTATTTTAGGTAGATTATATGAACATTTTCTTTGTTAAGGATAGGATTCATTACTCATCCAGCAAATGTTTGAGATCTTTTTATGTGCTATTGTACATAGTGATGAAACAAGATAAGCTTAATTTCTGCCCTCATAGATCTTATAATTGATAAGGAAAAAAGATATTAAATAAGAAAGCACGTTGAGAATTAGAATAAGGAAAGTAATAGAGATAATTTATTACATTTTTATAGGTACCTGAAGTAGAACTTATAATGTTCTTGTATTTCTTTATATTATTTTATTTATTTATTTATTTATTTAACTTCTCAATATACATTGTAGTCAATTTTCATGACCCTTTATCCGTTCCTCTTTCCCCCTTGTATTTTCTTATACATATCTTTTTTCTTTTCTTTGAACAAATATTTGTTGATCATCTGCTATGTGTCAGGCACAGAAAATTTATAGTGTTATTTGAGATCTCAGTAAAATAGTATGTAGGTAATATATTATTACTGTTACTAATTCAAGCAAATAAGTATTTGTAAAAGACTGTAGTTTACAGAGTATGGATTTTAACTTCAATGTATAATCTTTTATGTTGGGTAAATTTCTTATTTTGATATGGAAAAATATGGGTAAACATATGTAATGAATGTTTTCTTGACAAAACTTACCTTATTTCTGATATGCTAAAGCAAATTATACAATTTGCCAAATCTTAAGTCAAAGCTGTAGGGTTTCAGCAGTAAAAAGTACAAGTCCTTGCTCTCTATTGCACAGTTTTATATGTTCTTTTCTATGGAATTGTTAGATATAGAATAGTGTTAATACATCTGATTTGTGTCTAACCCTGAGATCAATCATAAAACACTATTAAAAGTACATTGGAATTTCTTTTGATGATAACACATGGATAGTTCATTTCCTCAGAAATGAAGAGAGTTGAGAATAATTATACCACTTATAACAACTGATAGATGGCACTGGTAACTGTTCATGCAGTTTCCTTATATTTCATAGGTACTGATGCTATATTTTATCATATGGTATTTGCTCTTACTAATAGCAGATGAGGCTGAAGCAACCTATAATTACCAATTAAGTTTGTAATTTTTATTTATCTTTTACTTTGGGAAAGCTTACCTACTTAGCCTATACCCTTTACATTGATTTTGACCTCAGTAGACAATTATTACCTCTTAAAGACTGAGTATACAATATGGAAAATGTGATTACAAAAATGATATATTTCAAAATATCAATACTGTGATAGATGGCAACATAACTTTTTCCCTGTAATTTATCTACACTTTAGAAGCATAAAAGATGTATTGTTTTCAATCAAGGTGAATTGGATGCTATGGAATACCATACAAAGGTAGGTGTAAGATGTTTATTGATCTCGTTGGAAAGTCAGTGTGAAGTAGTATAAAATAAATGGACAACATAAATAAGGATGTTCTTCAAAATCAAGCAGTTGTTTTGGTTAGGGTTAGAATTTAATATCGATTTATTTTATTTATAGACAATAGGCTTTTATAACTTTTACAATCTCTAAACTAATTATAGTGTAAGTTTACTTGTGTTAAATATACCTGTTGCCTGGACATGCCACTTGCAAGATTAAACTACAGAAATATGCAGATATCCAGGTGTAGAGAGCACAAACATTAATTCACAGGGCCTAGCCTCCAAAGCCCTGTAGTTTCAGGTATAACCTAACTTTTTAAAATTACATTAGAAATGTTAAGCTTGCAAAAGACAGGAAACTTTCCCTGGGCTAAAGTCTCTGTTGTAGATAAAGAATTCTAACACAGCAAAATTCCGGGCTCAAGGACAGGTGTCCTTGATGCAGAGTTAACCTAAAGTTACTTGATTGTTATGTAAACATACTGAGGAAATTGCTGTAAGGAAAGACAGTATTTGCTAAGAACAAGCTTTTGTTGGGGGATCGACTTAACCTTTTGCAAATTGCATTATGGAATGTCACTTTGTTATTTCACTGATGTTACCAGCCTCTATTGTTAAACTATACTTAGCCATTAGCCACAACTCCACCTATGTTCCTTTTCTGTAATTTTCTGGCCTGGAAAATAAATACTGAGAAAGAACCCCAGTTTGAGGTTAATTTCCTGAGGAGGAACGCCTCTCTCTTGAGGGTTCCAGGAGATTAACCCCTTTGGGGTTTCTCACTGCTCAGAAGAAATGGGCTTTGAGTAATCCTTTGCGTCTCCATCACCCTGGGGGAGAGGTGACATCCAGGGTATGATATCTATAAGAAAGATTAAGTTGTTAAATAAAATTAGAGAATAGTATTTCTTGAATTATATTCAGATTTCTAAATGTGAATGTTAATGATAAATATAAATTATGAAATATTTGCATGCTTTAGAATGGAATCAAACTTTTAAGAGGTAATAGGACAGAACAGTTGCTAAATCAAATTTAGAGCTCTTTTAGCTTCAGTAGTACATTTGAATGAAAATAATTTGTAGCCATTTTATTTTCAGTTAATTTCATAGAAATTGTTGTAATGTGGTCTTCAAGAATTAACTTCTAAAAGGATTGGTATGAGGACAATTAATAGCTAAGATATATAGATGACTTTAAGAAGCATATTAAGAAAAAGCCTGGAGTAGAACTTGCCTTATTATTTTCTTCACTGAATCTGTATTTCTCCCTTCCTTCTCATGTAGTTCATTTTTTCATTTATCCATTTATCTATTCACTAACTCATTAATTAAATTAATCCAATTTAATTACAAATATTCATTAATTGTCAACAGTATACCAGACACTGTGTTAGCCCTAGGATTTCATTAGAAGTTGAGATATAGTCCTTATGATCTTATGATCTTCTTGAGGAACACAGGCAATTAAACTAAACTACTCTATAGTGTAAAAAACACTGTCATAGAATTCTAGGATACAATGGTGGCACATAGATAGGGTAGATGTCCAATCCAGACTTGAGGATGGGGTGTTAAGGAAAGCTTTATGGGGGCAGTGATTTTGTTTAAGCTGAGTCCTTTCAGTAGGCATTAATCATATGAAGAGAATGATGAAGAGTGTTCTGGGCTTTGAGAATAATAGCACTTGCTAAAGTTGAGAATCAGGATGGAATAAGGCTTGTTGAGGAAGGAATTGGTAGCCACTATTCTACTTTCTGTCCTATGAATTTGCCTATTCTACGTACCTCATATAAATGACGTCATATAATGCTTGGCCTTTTGCGTGTTTTACCAGGACTCTTCAAAAAGTTCATGGAAAGAGTCATATTCAATTTCATTTTTCCATGAACTTTTCGAAATACCCTTATATTTCACTTAGCATGATGTCTTCAAGGTTCATGGTGTTGTAGCATGTGTCAGAATTTCTTTCCCTTTTTTTAAATTGGCTGCTGGCTGGTATGGGGATTTGAACCCTTGACATTATTAGCACCACACTCTCCCAAGTGAGCTAATCAGCCAGCTCTTCCTTCCTTTTTAAGGCTGAAAAATATTCTGTTGTATGTAAATCCACATTTTATTTATTCATCCGTTTGTTCATGGATATTTGGGTTGTTTCACTTTTTGGCTGTTGTGATTAATGCTCTGTGAACACGGGTGTACAAATGTCGATATTTGTACAAATATTTAATTTTTTCTGGGTATATACCTAGAAGTGGAATTGCTGGATTTTATGGTAATTCTGTGTTTAATTTTTGGAGGCACCATCATACTGTCTTCCACAGTGGTTGTACCATTTTACATTCCTACCAGCAATGCACAAAGGTTCTTAATTTCTCCACATTTTTGCCAACACTTCTTTCCTCCCTTCCTCCCTTCCCTCCTTCCCTCCTTCCCTCCTTCCCTCCTTCCCTCCTTCCCTCCCCATCATAATGGATGTGGAGTGGTTTCTCATCGTGGTTTTGATTTACATTTCCCTAGTGATTAGTGATATTGAGCATCTTTTTATGTGTATGCTGGCCATTCGTATATCTTCTTTGGAGAAACGTTTTATTCATGTCCTTTGCTTATTTTAAAATTGCATTGTTTGTTTTTTTGTTGTTGAGTTTTACAAGTTCCTTATATATTCTGGATATCAGTCCCTTATCAGATATATGATTTGCAAATATCCAAAGAACCACCTTAACTTAGCTAATTTTCTTTACTATTCATGTTTCCTATTTTGTTGATTTCTAATCTTTATTATTTTCTTCCTTTTGATTTACTTTGCTCTTTTTCACATTTCTTAAAGTGGATCCTTATGTCAGTGAATTGAAAAGTTTTTTTCTTTTATAATATAAGCATTAAAAGTTGTAAGTTTCCCTTTGATCACTGCTTTAGTTGCATTTCACATATTTTGATATTTTGTATTTTCACTTTCATTCAATGAAAAATATTTTCTAGTTTCTCTTGTGATTTTATCTTTGACCTATTTGAATTATTTAGAAGTGTACTATTTCATTTCCAGATATTTGGGGTTTACCTTGATATCTTCTTGTTCTTGTTTTTTAATTTAAATCCACTGGGGTATAAGAGTATACTCTAATGATCTGAGTCCTTTTAAAATATTGCGCCTTGTTTTATGCCACAGCACATGCGTTATCTTTGTGACTGTACAGTGTGCTACTGAAAAGAATAAGTATCCTACAGTTGTTGGATGCAGTGTTCTATGAATGTTAGATGAAGTTGGGTGATAGTGTTGTTTAAAACTTTTATCTTTATAGATTTTTGCATTGGTCTATCAATTGCTGGGTAGATTTTTTTAAGTAGTGTTAGAATAGTCTTTAGGGCTAATTATTCCCCTGTACTGATGCAAGATCTGTCTGATTACTCATTGCACCTTTCAAGAACTGTGAAGTCCGAGATTTTACCCTATTTGGAAGCTAACAAGTTAGCCTGCCACAGTTTCCTGGATGTTGGTGGAAGATATGAGACTCCTAGGTCAGGGACAAAGGATTTTTTTTTTTTTGTCTTTTGTCTTTTTCCGTGTCCGGCAACGGATCGCAACCCTCAGTGTTGCCCCCGTACTGGACCGGGGACCGGCAACGGGATTGCAACCCTCGGTGTTGCCCCCGCGCCTCGCTCAGCCAGTGAGCGGGAGCCGGTCTGTATGTGGGATCCGAACCCTCGGACAGGAGCGCTGCCGCGCTTCCCAAGCGGCGCACTATCCAGTGCGCCACCGGGCCGGCCCCAGAGACAAAGGATTTTATTGCTCCTGGCACAGTGGGAAGCATATGCTTTATGCTCTCTTGTTTGTGCACGACATCCCATGGGGACAATGCCAAGCAGCCTAGTTGATGTGGTACATGCAGTGGGTTTGCTGTGCATGCAGCAGTACTTTGGTTCACAGTGAAGGAATCCTAACCTTAAGGAACTCCAGTCTTTTAAGTGGGTTGCAAGCAAACCTGTCTAACTTTTTTGCTTCAGAGTGGGGACTGTATTAAACTGGATGGCATATAGATCTGTCCTCTGCCTTGAAGGGAGACATTATTCCATCTTCCATGCTGTACAGATATCCTTGGAATTTTATTCTGGAACAAAAACAGTCAGTGCCTTAGCTCAGCTTGAGATCCGTAATTAATTGCCTTCCAATTGCCCTGTAAATCATGAAGTTTTCCAGTCCGAGTGGTGGAAATAAGGCACTATTCTTGGCACCAGGCACTGTTTTTTCTAATCCTTTTGGGTACTCCTTTTCCCATCTGATAGTTCTTCCACACACTTGTATTGATTAGTACATACCTGAATTTCGTCTGACTACCTACCTGAAAGTCTCCAGAGTTATCTCTCTGTGTACCTCTTTCCTCCATGGTGCTGTGTCCTATGAATTCTTATCTGTACTTTCAGTTTTGTCTCCTCAACGTAGGGATTCTTCTAGGTTCTGCCTGAATTACTCCATCTTGTGGCCTGGAAGCTGTCCAGGCAGGTAGCTGAGGCAATCGTAGGACTTATCTATGATTTCTTTCCCATAGCTGATAGCCACTGTCCTTTCTTGCCTAATGTCTTGAAAACTGTTGTTACTGTTTGTCTTTGTTGGGAGCAGAAGATTCTGAATGCTTTGAACATTTTCTCTGTATCACTAATTTTTAGTGGTTTGATTATGATGTTCCACAGTGCTTTATGCTCACAGGCTCCCTTGTACCCCATGTCCTGCTGCTGCTCTTCCTCCTCTCCCCCCCCACCTTCCTCTTCCTCCCCCTC